TTTTTTTTTTTTTTTTTTTTTTGTTACCAGGATCGAACTCAAGACCTTGCGCTTCCCAGGCAGGCACTTGTGCCACTGAGCTATGTTGCTGGCCCTGGGACCAGGGTATTTTCAAAGCACAGTGAATGCCCCTGTAGGTAAAATAACAAAAGAGTAACGTGCAAAGAATGAAGTCAGAGAGGTAGTAGGAACCAGACCTCATTGGGCTTGTGAGCCAGGTTAGGAGTTTAGATTTTATTCTAGATGCAGTACAAGACAAAGGGTACATAGGCATGATTTGTTTAAAAGGTGCTGTAGCTTACTGCATAAGAAATCGTTTATCAGTGGGGAAAAATAGTTCACAGGACAGACTTGGAGATGGAATACCTGAGAATGATCCAGATGTATATGTATTTTTTTCAGGATATATTTTTGGAGGCAGAAGAACTAGGACTTGATAGTTTTAACCTATCAGATTTTAACCTAACATTAACACTGTTATTTGTTGAAGCACATATTAGGAAAGTGTTTCTCGGTTTTCCTCTTAACTCTTTGGCCCTCATCACCCCACTTACATCTTTCTCACTTCTGAAGTTTGGAATGCTTGCAGTCTCTAAATTTTTATTATGTACCGTCATTTTTGAATCTCATGGCTTTAAGTCGTATCTGTTAGCTCATTACTGAAATTTGTATCTCCAGTCTAGACTCCTCCTTTTTTTTTGGTACCCTGGATCGAACTCAGAACCTTGCTCCGGCCAGGCAGGCACTGTGCCGCTGAGCTATGTCCCCGGCCTGGATGCCTCTGAAAACACCTGTCTCCTTGACATCTCAGTGTCTGTCGAAAGTGAGCTTGTGGTCTTCCCTGGAGCCTCTGTCCCAGTAAATGGCTGCTGGATGTTTTGAGTGGGTCAGACCAAAACTGTTGGAGTTGTTTTGACCTATCCCCTTGTATCATATCCAAACTAAATAGGACTGCAGGTCCATGCTAACAGCAAATCTTGCCAACCTCTGTCTTGTAGTACTTTCGGGTCCAGCCACCTCTTCTGCTCAGTCCAACTTGTCATTTCCTACTGTCATTACCATGGCATTTTCTTAAGTACCCTCCTTGTTTGCAGTTTTTCACACTCCACCCTCTTGGTCTTTTCTTAACACAGAATTCAGAGTTGCAGTGTGAGCTAGATCGAGTCATTACTGTGCCTAAACCCCACTTTGGTGTTACTTTTCAGAGGAGAAATGAAGCGTTGGTCTGCGTGACCACCCTCTACCGCTCCGCCTTTCCTGCCACCAGCTGTCTCTCTCCCCGTGCTTCAGCTTCTCGGCTCTTGCTGTTTCTCATACACTCTAGGCACTGTCCAGCCGTAGGACCCTGAAATGTGCAGTTTTCTCTTTCTGAAATGCTCCTCTGCACAATGTACATGACTTATGCCCCCTTCTTCACCTCTCTATTTAGCATTCTGTGTAATGTGCTTGTCTGAGTTTGTTGTTTGCTTTCTCCTCCAAATAAAAGCCCCACTGGAGCTGCTTTCGTCCTGGTGTTCCCAGCAGCCTCAATCACTTGTATTTACTGAGCTCTCACCTTGCGTTTCTGGCATCATATATTTGCATGAGCTCTTAGTGTGAGCTGGGTGCTGTTCAGAGTATGCTGTGCGTTCCTGTAAGAACGAAGTGCAGTACTTCATCATGAAATTAAGATCTGACTGTAAGTAGACTGAGCAAGGTGTTAGCTTGTAGAATTGGAATTCAAATGCTGAGACATGTTACTGTGCAGTGAAGCCCCTGTCAGTGTTGTCAGGTGCTACAGACAAATTGCTAGCGTGAATCCTGAAAAGAGGCAGTTAGTTCAGCGGTTGGGAAAGAGGACAGAGCTCAAGGGATAAGACCTTGAAGTCTGTTTTTAACAGAGAGAGCTTTTCGTAGATAGTAAAAGTGTACTCAGAAACACTTCCTATGTGGTTCCATTGCTGAGCATTTTAAGTACTGGTTAGAAACATTCAAGTGCGAGCTTTCCTCATCTATAATGCACTTAGGCGATTTACTCTTTAAATATTTAAGGTATGTCACTCAAATAGCATGTAATCTTTTCTTTTCCCACTGACTTTTAGAGTAAATAGGGAAAAAGAAAGTTTAAGCAATTAAATATATGCAACTAAGAGACTTCTAAGCTGGAAAAGAATTCTGTTTATGCCTTAATTTATTCTCTATATTCCACTTTCCTTGCAAAGAATAATTTCTCTACCTTTGGAATAGAACTAACTGAAGCTAGTAGTTTTCTCAGATCTAAGTGAAAAAAATAGTAAGTATGATATTGAACTTGGAAATTTTGTGAAAGGCACATTAGTCATGGAAGAGTGTAAGAAAGGCAATAAGGATATTACTGCTAGTGTTGGGTTTTAGGAAAGTAGATAGATATAAGACATAGTCATTGATCCATGTTGTGGGCATGTCTTTTCGAAATGTGCTTCTTTGCATTTTCCATGCAAGTAGGAAAGAAGCCAAATAAAGGGAATGTGTGTAATCGAATGCCTGCTTATTACTATGCCTGGCCTCTATTAAAATGAAAACAAAGTGATTTTGATCAGGAAAGATTTCAGTGCTCAACCAACAATTAAATGTGCATTTTTAATATTCTTTTTTGCACTGTACTAAATTAACTTACAAGTTACATATAAGTTGTAATGATTAACATAATTCTTAATATGAAAATTCAAATTTTAAGAAGATAAATTGAAAAGATTTTTTTTAACTTTTTTTTTTTTTTTTTTTTTTGTCTTTTTGAGACAGGGTTTTGCTGGGCACTTCAGCCTAGCCTTGAACTCCCTTTGTAGCCAAGGCTGACCTCGAAATCATAGTGATCCTCCTACCTCAGCCTCTCAAGTGCTGGGGATTACAGGCTTTTTTTAACTCCATAAGGTAATTTAACTTGGAGTAATTCCTTGTGAAAAATTGTACCTAACTTCATTTTCCCAGTCAAGATATGCTTAAAATAACCACTTCCCAGACCATAGTGGCTTAGGAGTGCAACATTTCTTTCTCGTATTCCATGTCCACAATGAAGTTCTGGGAGCTCTGGTCTCAGTCTCAGTCACTTGAAAACTTAAGCCCACTTTTCTTAACGTGGTACTCACCACAGCAGGGAGAGAGCAGGCTGGAAAGCCCGTCTTACGCATTAAAATACGCAGTGATCCGTGCCGC